AGGAGGGAGGATGTTCCCTGCGCCGCTCCAAGCCGTGCCCGATGGTTCCAACCTCCTTACGCCTGTTGCACTGTTCTGCAAATGACTTAACGTGCACGTAATTAATTCCAGTCCCAAGCGGAGGTTACAGCGTGCCTCCAGCTCTTTAGCCGCGCTGCGTGCGACGCGCCGGTCCTGCAGCCGGAGCGGTGCTCGCGGCACTGCTCTCGCCGTTATGTGCCCTCGGTTCTGGGGTCCTGACAGCGTGTGCCCCCCGAAACGGCATCCGCTCTCTGGTGCCTCCCGCCCCACGTAACTGCCTGTGCTCCTGCGGGGCAGGAGGGAGGGTCCCCAGCCCACCGTGCCCGGGCTCCACACTGCCTTCCCACCCTCGGCTCAGCCGCTCCTTCCCGCCCGGAGCTCCAGCTGCAGGGCCCCCTGGGCACTGGCACCGTCAGGACCTCACACAGCTTCGTGCCTCTAGACCAGGTGGGAGGGAGGGAAGAGCCTTAAATCTCCTGCCTGGAGGGAGCAGGGAGAGCTTGGCAGGATCCTCGTTAGGACCTCAAGGGAGATCACGCTGACCTGATGATTTCTCCTCTCTGTTCTGCAGATTCGTTTGTGAACAGCCAGGAATGGACCCTGAGTCGCTCGGTGCCTGAGCTGAAGGTGGTGAGTACTCCTGCCCTGTGCCTTGGGTACCCCTGGTTCTCTGATGCTTCTCCAAATCTCCGAGGAAAACCCGTGTTTTCACGTGTCCAAGTGGAAACGCAGAGAGGCTTCAGCCTGGCGGAGGGGAGAGAGGGGCGAGGGCTGCTGCCGTGCTGGGGCAGGCGAGGGCTTCTTGGTGGCTCGTGTTTGCAGCGCAGAGGGTGTTGGTCTGGGAGAGCACTCGGCTGCGAAGGGTGAACGGCAATATCTGAGCACCGTACCCTCCCTGCTGGCCACAGCAGAGCCGTAATTCCTGCCCAGCTCCTGCTGCACAGGCTCGACCTTCTGATGTAGCAGAAGCAGGGGCAGATCCCGAGCGGCGGTTCGGGCGTGCACCCGTGGTTGTCACCCTCAGAGCAGCAGCACAAGCATGGGAGTTGCTCACACGGGAGTGTCACCTCTCCGTTTGAGCCCTGTTGACTCCAGCTCTCCGCTGGTGCTGCCCTGGCTTCTATCCCAGACACGACTGCCCCATGGTGCCCCTGCCACAGGGGGATGCTGGTGGGATGAAACTCTCACCTCTGGCGCTTTGTTCTGCCAAACAGGAGATGAAGCTCCTCTGGTTTGGCAGCACGGGGCGGGTTTCCCACCGTTACCAGGCTCCATCACCAGCTCGTGGGATACAGTCTCTGATGGGGGGCTGCCTCTGCCCCCAACACAGCCCCCTTCTCATGGGACGGCACATTGGAGACAGGGGGCATTTCCCACAGGCTGTGGTTGCTGACGGCTGCGTGCCAGCTTGCCGGGGCTGTCCGTGAGCCCGCGCAGGTCGGCAGCGTGGGGGGACATGGAGGGCATTCTCTCAAGCCGAGCTGGGGAGCGGTGCCTGGGCGGCGGGAGGACGTGGGACCTCCTCGCTGGTGGTGCTGAGCTGGGGGCTGGTCCGGGCATTGACGGAGAGGCAGGCTC